GATCCAGCTAACAATCGGGAGCATGCTAGGCCGTCAAAAAACCTTTGAAGATGCTTTCAAAACCAATAAAATAATTCAAAACCAATCAATTAAGCACCTGGATAACATGCTGATGCGAACTTCTAGCTCATGCTCATCCACCTTGAGGACTTTCCATTCTGTCGCACAGGACTTAGCACAACCGATAGCCGCCAACAGGACATCGAGTAGACATAATGAGTGGTCTGAGTCGCACTCAGTCTGAAATTCAAAGTGGTTATTGGCGAACGAACTAGGAATAGCTCACCTTCAGAAGAGCAATGATATTATCAATCAAGTCCACAATTATATGGGTGAAGAGAATGGATCGACAGAATGATGGAGCAGAGCAAAATCGGCAAATAAGCGTGGATAATTTTCTAAGCAGTCTGGAAAAAAATTATTGGTTAAAAGGCACTAAATCGAAAGGATCATACCGGATACTAGCTCCCGTCGTTGTCCACTTCATCAACAAATTCACCAGGTCGCTGAGTAGTGTAGAGTCGTTAGACGACTGAGTTGCGTTGGCCGTGTACCACTCCTACAAAAACGATGAATGTATGTCACTTGGATGAAACACAGGAACAACTTACTTGTGACTGTGCCTCCCTTGAGACCTCACTCAAGGACCTATCCAGCATCTGCAAGGTTGAATCATCAAGCCTGCCTGGCTTCTGACATTTTGCAATGATATTCATTAAATCCCGAAGGCATTTGGGATGACGGCCGGGAGATGGTGGCGTTTCATTCAACTCAGCAATTTTCTTGTTTCTGAACAACAACATTGGCAGAAGATCAAACGAAAATTCTGAAATTTTACCTCGCGGCCAGTCTTTGCTTCACTTTCACTCTTTTCTTCCTGAATGCTGCTTCGTCTTCCTGATTCTCGGCAACACTCTCCGCGCTAGTACTCTGACTCAGCGTACAAAATTCTCTTTCCTGCAAAACAACCAGATAAGAAAAGATTTCGTCAAAATTTTAAAGCTCTTACCAGATCATCAGTCGATAACTGCAGTAAATCAAGCTTGGTCTTTGAAAGATGATTTTCTGACATGACATGAGCAACTGCATCGAGTTCTGTGGGCATCTAAAAGAACAAAGTCTTTCTTAAATGGGGCGTTTGCAAAGGAAGGGACCAAAAAAGTGAAAAATGCCCTAAATGCTCGCTAATGTAGATTTATGAGTGGCAATCTATCGATGCAAAAGGACCATTGCTTCAAAAGAAGTCAGTAAATGGCGATTACTAATGTGAACGACTTACTTCGCTACTGCAATTACTGCATGTGAATGTTATTCCAGCAAGATCAGATGGCCAATGACAGCAATCAACAAACGACCACATCCACCGACAACCAGATGGAGGTCGTGGAGACGAAAATTCTTGTGCACGCACCCGCACTTCCTCTAAGGTCTGCTCATGACGACGGGATGACGACTCAATCTAGAATATCTAAGCCATGAATTTGCAAAGTGGAAGGGATCACACTACACTTCACCTTTTCCTGAATGCGTTTCCTGAGAGACTCATTTTCTTCGGCATCGGCCAAACGTAGCTCGCTCAATTTCTCCTGCTGCTGTTTGCGTCTTTCATTGCGCAGTCTTTCCTGTTCATTTTTTTGAGCAGCAATTTGAGCATGACGTGCCTCTTTTCGCTCGGCAAGCTCTTGCAAGCGAGCAATTCGCTCCTACAAATACCCTTAGCAGTGGAATATTACAAATCACGAACGGAAAGATCATTGAAGACGACGAATTGAAATAGAAACTCACCATTTCTGCCTGTTTTCGCCTTTCCTCAGCAGCGTGTTCTTTTGCCGCTTTCTCTTCCATTCTCTTAGCTCTTTCTTCCGCTAGAGTTTGCTTGCGCTCTTCGACTCCCGCGTCCCTCAGCCGCAAATCCAACAGCATGTTTCCACCTTGCAAAGAGTTGATGAATTGTACTTCCAAGACCTGTAATTCATTGAAGAGGTGAGAAAATAGTGTGCGAGCACAGTCCACCCCCACCTACCTTTTGTTCATCGTCCTTTGCGCGACGTATGATTTCCGTGATATTCTTCTCGCGATTTTCTTGTGCCCTCTCCATGCGGCTCTCTAGCAACTGTCTTTTTCTTTCGATAACTTTCTGGCGCTTTTCACGCACCTCTTCTACCTAGGAGAATTATACCATTCCGGTGAAAACTGCAAAAAA